AAAACCTTCAAGAAAACAGCATAATGTTCATGTATGGACATTTTAGTAGAATTGGAATTGGAAAGTTATTTACAGAGTTTCCATTCACTTTTTTAGGGAGCACGCATATATAGACACACTCTATTGGCTCACCCAATTTTTTTTAATTTCATGTACCATTTTTTATATGTGTTTTTCTTAGAATATCTGTGACTTCACTGAAATTCACAAAATGATTACCCTACAAACTGGTACTTTAACATAATGAGCCCTCCAGTATCTCGGGACTATATTATATCCAACCTTTCTTCCTCTATCCCTCACTCTCAATCCTATCATCTTTGATTCTTACTCTCTGACTGAGAAAAGTTATTTCCCTAAAAATTGTAATGTTTTTTAACATATTTCATAAGAAACTCAACTACAAAGAATACTGGCATCATGTCTTCTTTTTGAGAGTACAATGTCTATAATATGCTTCAAATGTATACTACTAATAGGATTAGTGATTCTTATGGTAGTTCTAGTTTTAATACATGTTTTCTATAAAGGTCCAACTAATATATTTCCTTACCAACACTAGACAAGGGTCTCTATTTCTCTGCATTCTTATAGCAAATTTTATTTTTTGTTTGTTCGATAAGATTCATTCTTCATGTAATGATATAACATATCATTATTACCCTGACTCACATTTCCTCTATGGTTGGTGATATTTCATAGATTTCCATGTTTTGTGGATCATCTATATATATCAGGTTTTAAGAAATTTTTGTTTAAATCTTTTGTTCATTTTTCACTTAGGTCTCTATGACTAAAAGTGCATTACAAATTTAGAATATCAATTCATTATTTCCTTCACCTACTTGAAGCGCTACACTCTGTCATTCCCTTCAACGTGTAGAAAATTTATTTTATGCACTCTTACTTATCTATTTTTGCTTTTGTTTGCTGTGGTATTAGAGTAGTGGTTCTCAATCTATGTGTCTTGACTATTTTGGAGGTTGCATATCAGATATTTATAGTACAATTTAAAACAGTAGTAAAATTACAATTATAAAATTGCAACAAAATAATTTTATGGTTGGGGGCCACCACATGAGGAACTGTTTCAAACTGCAACATTATGACATTTGGTAACCACTATTTTAGAGTCTTACTTAAATATTCTCTTACCAATTTCAATGCCACAAAGCATTTTCCTTGTCTTCTAAAAGCTTCATAGTTCAAGACCTTATATCTAATTCTTTAAAACATTTTCTGGTAATCTTTAATATGGAAAATAGGTTCAACTTTAGTTTCAGGAAAAAGTGAGCTGTCTACAGATATGTGGGCTTGTTTCTATAAATATTGAAATCCTAAAAATAATGCATTGAACTTTTCATATAGTTCAACAATATGGTAATCAACGTTAAAACTGAAACCACAACAAAATCCATTCTTCTTTTTTCTTTTTATAATTATTTAAAAACCCAAGAAGAAAAAGCTACAATATGGAATAGAAAACAATATGTTTTGGTAGAATTCTATTCCTGGTTTTTACAGAATGCATGATCCTATGAGAAAGGTCAATAATTCTATGAGGTTTGGTTCACTCGGCTCAGTATAAGGATATGATATATTTCAACAGTGATTTATGACATAAAGAAATCCATGTGTAAATAGATCTAATAAATAAGGTGTAAGATACTCTGGAAGTAAACATGTGATAATAAAGCCCTGCAAAACTCTGTATTTCTGTTTTGACAAAATAAATATTTAATTGCAACTCTTCTGCAAGACATGAATTATAGTTATCCAATGGCAAAACGTTTTCTTGAAAAGGCATACATTTCACTACAGCCATTTTAATCCATCCTGTTTTCATTAACTCTCAAAGCAGGGGGAAATCTACAGTCTATTATTTTCCAAAGCTGATATTTCTGTGTGATATATTTAATGAAACAATGCAATATTTTGAAAACTTTGTTGTCAGGTTGCAATTGATGTGGAGTGTCCCTGAAGAAAAAAGAGAGATCAGGCTCTGGAAATCAATAGTATAAAATGGAACAAAGTATGAAATTTCACTTATTTCAAGCAAAAACTGATTTATTTTAGAACTGGAAGAAAAATTATTATTCTGGTACAAACATGTCAACTGGTACCTTGATCTATCATACTACTCTGCAAGTGATCATTTACACACTTTAAGTCTACGTAAACAAATGTGCAGGAAAGTGTTGAGACAGAACACAAAGAAGTACCCATTCAGAACATGTGATTGAATGCTTTAAGCAACAAGCAACATATTCACTTCAGAAATCATTATTGACTCACTCAAGAAGGTAGTGAGCTTTTAGATTTTATTTGTGTGTGTGTGTGTGTGTGTGTGTGTGTGTGTGTGTGTGTGTGTGTGTGTATAGGTGGCATAGCTACGGCTCAGGCTAGTCTCTAACAAGATCTTCTATTGTACTGGGATTGCAGATTAAGACACTGCATCCAGCAAGTGCTCAGCATTTTTTTTTTTTTAACCAAAACTGCTCTAGTTTCAACAAGGAAAGATATTGTCCCAGGTATTTCAATGCCTCTGAAAACTGATCCCTTCTTCAGCCTTAGAAAGAACACCAGCTGCTTCCTGCCCATTTAGTAATGGAAAAATTATAAAGACAGGTGGCCCCAGCAGCTATAACAACTGTCAGTAGCAGATCAAGGAACTGGAGAATTAAAAATTGGATAAATAGTGTTGGCACTACATAAAGATGTAGACAATTAATAACGTACCAGGCGTCTTCTTTTAGACTTCCCAAGATTTCCATCAAAAGCAACTGAGAATAAATTTAAACAAACATTTTATTTGACAAAGCAGTTATGTCTAGCTATGGATTGTTTGCTCTGTTTGACATGATTTGAGTACAATATACAGCAGAGACCCACTTGTCAAAGGGTTAGATGGTGAGTCACTGGACATTTATGGAAGGATTTCTGTGAGTCTCTAAAAGAGTGATGACATGGTGTCAAATCTGGCTTTGATGGTGTCCTGGTGGAAGCTGAGTAGGGGAAAATTATGAAATATTTTTTATCCAGTCTCTAGTTAGTCCTGCTGTTTTCAATGCTGAGACAAGATGCCAGAACACCTTTTACAACTTCAGATCAAAGAAAGCATCTTGATTTTACATCCTGGTGAATATATTTAAAAAATGCTTCACTAGCTCTGATGACATGAATTTCCAAGTTACATTGTGTTAATGCTACTGCTATATTCACAGTAATCACCATAAGTAAAAATTTTGTGAAGAAGTCAGTGAACTTCTACTCCTGATACTTTTTGTCATTTTGTGCTTCTTAAATATACTCAAAAATAATTTTTGTCACACCCAGATTCACAATGTACTGAACAATTATCCAGGAAAAATAGTGAGAAAACCATTAAGTACCTAAAACTGCAACTTGTTAAAGTGTAACTTGCTGGGTTGTTGTTGAGCAGATGAGAAATAAAAGGACACTTCTATTTAAGTACAGGTAAGTTAATGTCTTATTCTTGGTTAATTGAGAGTGAGGAAGAATGTAAAAAATAATGCAATAAATTTCACAGAAAAAGAACAGTAAGTGCTACTATGGAATGCAAGCACTTCTATCCAATGACAGACATCTAAAAATCTACTACTAAATGACTCTTCTTCACTCTTTAAAAATATTGATTTTATTTTTGGAGATTAAAATATAATTGTTCCATGTCCCATTTTCCCATTCCTCTCATTATGCCTGCCCAGTATAACTCTCCTTGCTCTGTTTCTAATTCACAGCCTTTTAAAATTGTTGTACACACACACACACACACACACACACACACACACAAACACACACGAATACATAGTTCTCAGTATGTATAATTTTGCTTGTATATATGTTTTCAGGGCTGAAAATTTTGTCCTGGGTAATAATAGGTGTTGTCCTGGGGAAAAATATTTTCATCATTCCTCAGGAGCCTACAGTTCTTGCTTTTGAGGGTTGAGGCTGCCTATACTTTCTTCTGTCCACATTGGCATGTCTACCGTTATTGTTCAGCTCATGCTTTGGCATTCATGTTGGTGAGATTTATGGATATATATTCTATCATTCCTAAGAGACACAATATCACAGCAAACCTCTTGTTCTTCAAGCTTTTATAATCTTTTTGTCTCTTCTTCCCCAGTGATCTCTGAACCATAGGTGTGAGAGTACACAACTCTGTATTTGTGTGTGTGTGTGTGTGTGTGTGTGTGTGTGTGGTTTTCTTAAATGGTTTCTGTTGGTGCAAAGAAAAGTGTCCTTAATTATGACTGAGAACTATACTTATTTGTGGGTATAAGGATAAATATTTAGAGTTTAGTTAGGGATCATCCTGGTGGGTTCTAAAGTCTGCTCTAAGATCCATGACTTCGCTATCCTTGTGTAATTGATTAGGTGTCCAGTGTCATGCTTTCGGTTTCTGTTTGTTTGTTTTGTTTTGTTTTCATGTTGAGCAGGTCTTAAGTTCATTTAGAGAGCCAATAGTTACTGCCAAGTTATGGGTACCACTACTGTCTACTTAGGGTTTATAATGCCATACTTGTTGTTATTCTGGTTCATAGATACACTTCAACTTTAAGAGATTAATTCCTTAAGTGTTTAATATTGTGAACTAGGTTCTAATTTTTATTTGATAGAAATACCATGGTTATTTCTATTTTAAGTCATTTATTAAAGCAGAAGAGTATCCAAATGAGTGTATATTGTCATAACTTTTAACATATAAGGAAAATGTTTCTTTTGGCACAGATAAATAAAAAATTACTTAAAAGCAAAATGTGTGGTAAAATTCACACTAAATTTAGTGTGAATAAAACTTAGAGCAAAAATTCTCATTAACCTAAGTTTGCATTTAAATGATAAGTAATAAACCATTCCAGTCTAGAGTGGAAATGTGAGATAAGAGCAAATAGCATTTTAAAACATATATCTTCTATTATATTATTCATGTTTTAGTGCTTGCTAAAACAGAATGGATTTATAATATTACTTGTGTGCTCACTTAGTCAGTACCTATTCTAAAATTGGAATGATGCAGACAAGATTATCATGGCTCCAGCACAAGGATGACACTCAAATTCATGAAGCATTCTATACTTTATAAGGAAAGTAAGTTACCAGGAAAGGCATTAGCAAAAGCAGAAAAGCACAAGCACAAAAATGAAGACCTCTGATCTCTCAGCTGACTCTACACGTCTACACTTACAACTTCTAAGAAAAGGGCAAAATAAAACAGGTAGATAAAAAAAAGGGGAAATCCAAGATTAAAATTAAAGCTGAAGTTGATGAGGAGGTCGAGAAAGATGCAGAGGATGAAGACCAAGGAATAGAAGAAGAAAAGTAAGGATGAACAGAGACATATTAGGGGAGAACAGATTTCAAAGAGAAACATACTCAGCAATTCTAATCCAGAGAGAAAGGCAGTAAGGACTAATGAAAAGCAAATGTAATACTGCCACCGGCATACATCATGCTTAAAATTCAGTTGGGAACATATAAAATTCTCTATAAAATAACCAAGGTATGTTAAACCCAATGGTAGTAATCTCTGGCTCTTAAATCTTTTGTCTCCTGACATCAACCCTTAACCTAAGAGTCTGGTACACACAGAAAAAAAATATTTCTTGTATAAAAAATATGTTACTGTTTCCCAGGATGTGGCTTGTAATTGCCCTAATATTGTGTCAAGACAATGAGCAACACTCAGTTTCTCTTATGCAGGACTTGGGGAAGATGAACCTCTATAAGCTACTAGATATTGGTAGGCAATGGAGTCAGGGCTTACCATCACCAAAGCATCACAAAAGCCATGAGGAACATGTCTCCATGCCAAGTATTTCCAAAAAGCCATGTTCTAGAACAGTTCTGGCTTGAGTGCTTCTTATTTTAAATTGAAATAATATATTTGACCGATTTTAAAGTACGGAACTTACATTCAAATAGGCTAAAGGCAATCTTGTCACTTGCCTCATTGGTACAACTGAGCAGATACTTCTGGATTACAGCTCATTATCTGAAGGTTCCTTGCAGGCCAGAGCCCAGTCAGGGCTTGTGGTCATTATTTCTCAAGGATAAGGGTTTTTTTTCTGGTTATTTTTTTCAAAAAACATATCTGATACATATCTGATTATAGCACTCCTGACACTTGCCCATTTCCTCTTCCTGTACAAAAGGCCATTGTCAAGAGCATCAAGATTAATTTGACAGAAATGTTTTCTTCCTAAAAACATTAAGTTTTGCAATAGCTTTCAGCTAAATTACTTTAATAATTCACAGAATGAACTTCAGTTGGTATTATTTGCTAAACAAAATATTTCACAGTACTACCACTATCAGTCACAATAATATTTTTTGTAAGGTTATGTAAAATATTTCCTTCAAATGTTATAATTTTCTAATGTTAATTATGAGGGTCCTATTATATTTTCAGTGTTTCAAAAGTTAAAAGACATGATCAACTTCTATAGAATTATACTGTGTATATGGATAAATGTGTTCATATATCTATAATCATTTTTTACTTGAAATGAATTTTTTAGTTTGCATTTATTTTTAATTCTTACCAATAACTTCCACCCCGGACCTATAACCAGCTAAATCCTATGAATTATATTTTTTCACAATTTTGGTTGGCTACCTAAGTGATGAATTTAACTCTCTTCAATTGATTGTTATTATCAAATCCACTATTTGATAGCTACATGTGGCAATGATATTTTTTTAGATTCAGTGAATCTTTTGCCAGGGGCTGAAAACTCAGCTTGTGATAACTATCCTTTTTCTATTATTTTTATTTTTTCATGCTAGAAAGTGGCTGAATCTTCTCTTTAGCTTTGCTTCAGTGCTTTACTGATCACACTGCCAGCATCCTTCCATTATCATCCACCTTCCTAAATGCTTTCATTTTATTTCTCCCTAGTATACTTTACTGGATTACAGAACAAACCAATTTACTCTCTGGTGCTTGACAGTATATTTTACAGGTTAGTTTCTTCTTTACATAATATGAGTATTGATTAAATATAATATTTAAAAAAGGTTAAGTTTGTATTAGGAAAATTAGTTACCCAATTTATAATGTGTATGTAGTGATCATACTCTATGTGCATATATGTGTGTGTATGCACATATATATATATATATGCATATATATATATATATATATATATATATATATTCACTAAGCCATATAAATATCTAGATGGGTAGATGAACAGAATATCTCATCTTCTTACATGTAACCAAAATTATCTCTGTTTTAAGAATCTACTTATCATTTATGGGATCTAAAATATTTGTATGTATGTGTGTGTATATTTATGCTTCTCATATCGTCATTTAAATCAATACAAATATTTTCTTATCACAATTAGAATGTTGTTAAGATTATCATCAATTATAAATGATAAACATGGAGACACTCATAACTTTAATTTTAATGTTTTACCTTTTTTAATTTGGCAAAGATCCTGGCACATAAAGGAGAGCTGATGTCTATTTGATGAAGAACTGACCAATCTTGATTTTCTAGGAAAGAACATGTTTTTTTCAGTATAAAACTCCAATCAGTAAGTTCACTCAGAATTACATCATTGTTTAAATTCTGTTTTTCTATTAAGGCTAATAAAACTTCATATGTGTTTATTTTCTAATTTATATTCTGTGTATATGAGTTTATATATGTGTGCAAGTCTGTGTGCTGTATTATGGCATTTCATAGCTTCTTTAACCTTATGTACAATGGAACCATGTTATTTTAAAGTGTTCCTTTTTTTGAGAGCTTTATCTCTATATTTTCCCAATTTCCTTTCCCTGAGGAGATGGTTTATATCAGTTATCAAGCTTAGGAATTTATAATCATCATGGGAACAATACCCTGAGGTTATCTGTGATATAGTTTGTGAAACAGATATCTTAGGTGGGAACACTTACTTTACCTTTGGGCAGTAGTACCCCATGGTCTGGGGTACAGGAATGAATAGAAAGAGACAGATGATTCTTTGCATATCTAAATTAGAAGCCTCTATAAATACTTATGCATTACTACATGCATACAACTTTGCCCAAAGAGAAGCTATCATAAAGATTCTGAAATGTGTGAATGAGGAATTGTTTTTTAGTTTTAAGGTGTCATTCTACATTTTTATTAGTATTTTGGGATTATTATTTTACTCCCATCCCAGTAAAAGTACTGTCTCAGTAGTGCTCTTTGCCTTTCCAGTTCTATTCAAGTTAGAATGCTATACTTCCTACCAAGTAATTATCATTACATGTCTTCTTATTTCTCTCCTCCTCTTCCTCCTCCTCCTCCTTCTTCTTCTTTTTCTCCTTCTCTCCTTCTCCTTCCTCTTCTTCTTTTCCCTTTAAATTCTTCTCCCTACAACGCCTTCCAATTCCCTTGGTATATCTGCTTATTTATTTCATCTAAACTCACTTTAGTTAATGTCTCCTAGTAACATTTGATATTATGAACCAAAGCCGTTATAAGATACATTCTACCTATTCTTTCCTTTCCATCAGTCTCTTTTTCTTTCACCTTTTCTTTTGAGGGCTACTTGGCAGTTCAGTTTATTAATGTTAACTTCTGGATGATGGAGTTACCCTGAGCTCTTCACAGGGAACACTGTAATCCAGTCTCATAGCGTCTGATGTACCTCCATGTTAACAATGCTGTACTCTAAATCACTAGCCCACTCTCATGACTTTGACACCTAAGAGAGGAACAGCCTACCAAACCACTGAGATGTGTCCAATAGATGTTGAAACACATCATACCTGTGTTACTCTTCTAATGCTATGGTTAAAACATGAATTTCAAAACTTAGCATATTAGAATACTTATTGTGGCATGATTCTGGAGGTTGGAAATCCTAAAACCAAGAACTTTTTTCTTTCTAGGACACATATAAAATCATCTGTTTGCTTGATTCATCCACTCTTTAGATTTTTTTTTCTCAATTCACTTGAGCATCTGTTTATCTGTCATATTTATATGTCCTTTTGCCTATTCAATATCCTTCTCATACTATACCTTTCCTCTTCTATGATTGTTTGCAGATCCTCCAAGATATTCTTTCTTATTGAATGGTATTTAGTTTAATTGTATCTACAAAGTCTATTGTAGGCATGAAAACTCATAAACATTTGTGGTTTCAGTATTTTGTCAATCATAATATACCACAGTACTTCTTTTTTTCCCTGGGGATTATCCTGCCCATGGTGCTTATCTTCAAGTGCTTATCCTTCATGAATGCACTGCCAGTTAGGGGGTCATCTCTGAAATCTACTATGCCTGCTTCTTTACTTCCTCATACCACATATTCAGTCAGAAAGTTTCTTGTTCCTGGGACTTTGTTTTTAGCTAATCTGATTTGCTATGTCTTCACTATGGCTTATTTAATGTAGGCCATTTCTTGGCCTGTTAACATTTCTACAAATTGCCTCTTTCACAATCTATTCTGTGTCTAAATGTAATTGTGTTAGACTAGTTCACTGCTTATAGTGCATCGGTGATTCTCCACTTATCTCAACATGAAGGTTAATCTTATTTGCTTGACTTAAACTTATCTTGGTTTCTTCTTAGAATTTAGTTCTTGTTACTGCCTTCTCTTTTCCAAGTTCCTTATAGAACTTAATAGCTTCATATTATTAATGACAAAATTCACTCAGCTCTGCCTAGAATACTTTGTTTTCACTTTTGCTTCATACATAAGACTCGTATGTCTTCTCCAATCACTACCCTTGATTTTATCTAGTTCTGGACACATTTTCCTTCTTTATGCAGGCCAATGGCCACATTACCTTCCTTCCTACTAACCTTCACTAACTTAATAGAAAATAATTACAGGTTCTATTATTTGCACTTCACTTCTACATCAATTTATTTAAGGATAGAAAAACATATATCTCTCAGTCTTACAGTTATCATCATGAAAGAGTTCAGTATATGTTGCTTAAATAAAAGTTCAATAAACTGTAAAATATCTGAGATACACTAATTATTATGTGTACAATACTTTTTAATGATTTATAAAATTTAGAGTGGAACTCTTCTCATGAAATATTGAAATAAAATTGTTATTTTTAATAATGGAAGCCCAA